GCCAGTCGACATTGCAGAAAAGGGATAAAAACTTTCCGTGTTAGAGATTGGGAAAGATCATGAAATAGTTTTTTTTATTCGCGGAAACCCAGTATTGTTACACGCGGTTCGGTTTTCGTACGATAAGTGTTTCCACGTCTAGCGTTATTTTGTTTTCGTAGTGATACATTTGCATAGAGGGGGAAGGGGACATGGGTTCATGGTCATCATGGTCTTTATCCGTTGAGCTGAAAGATATTGGGGTATATATATATAATCAATGAGTGTTTTATGAAGGTCAAAATAACTTATGTTTCCTCTTTGTTGGGACACACCCGCAGTACCTGCTACGTTGGAGTTTCTGCTGGGACTCGGCCCAAGTATATTCAAGTTTGGAATGGAAACCCCTATAATTGAGCAACACAGAGGATTAAAGGGTTCCACAGCGAGTGCAATCGCAACAGGAATTTAATTAAGAAATGGTCTAAATGCACCCAGTAGGGACAATTTTCTTCGTTCTCGATGAACTAAAATGAAGATAAATGTACAAAAAGAAACGAGTAAGAGGTACCAAATAATTACAGCATGCAGCACAAATAGAGAAATAGTAAATCGATGATAGTTTGTTAGGTCCGCTGTGATCGATTTTCAATTAACACAACAATAATAAATGAAGATGCTATGCGGAAAAATGGTGGGACGGATAGCTAAAATTATGAATTTGTAAAAAGAAACACTTAGTAAAGTGACTAGAGTTTTCATTGGACAACAAATGGCTAGTGAATCGATCTCATGCATCAAAATGCTTCACAGATTATAAAATCTACCAAGACAGGTATGTGAAATTCACCTTGTCACAGATTTAGTGATTACATTGTTAAAGCTGCATGCCTTCAATTCGGAAAGCATATATAGAGAGGCGGCATGAGAGACCTAATGTTAGGATTTTCAATATTTATGAGCCTAAAACGGTGATTTGATAAGATAATTGAGAGGCATTTTGGGGAGTCCGTCTTTAGGTCCATACAATTTAACTGTCGAAAGTAATTCTAGCAGGTTAATAAAAGGCTCTGATAACTTGAGTTTGTTGTAGGTCGACAAAAATGTTTGTTTTACGCTGTATTTGAGTTGGCGCAAACTGTTAAGATCAGTCAAACGAGGCACAAACACCACGATATCAGTGGTATAATTTGAAGGGACGACAATTTTATTCATGTGCAGAGAAGAAAATGGCAGCAAAAGCGCGCGCTAAAGCTACGGAATCAACTTCTGAAGAAAAGGAATTTTTAATGTTACAAAAATCAAATTGCATCCTTTATGAAAGCAAAGAAAAAGAAAATCTGAAGTAACATATTCTAGGCCACAACGAGACACACGTGAATACAAACACCGCGTTTAATCGACCAAACATCTAGGGAAATTAAGTGACCCGTGACAAACCCTTCGTCTAATCGGGAGGCTCCAAAGTGAATCATATGATTAAGAGTGAAAAGGCCAGATTTCGAAAAGACTTACAGACTGTCGTGAGCAACAGAGTAAGGAGCCATCCGGATTGCCGGGGTTTTTCCGAAAACTTTTAAGAAAGCAACCGAAGGCATTTTCAGAGGACCCGTGCAAGCTGAACGACTTAGTAGTAGATACAACACAAACGTTTTCAATTACGCTTTTAACAGGATCGGAGGTAGTGAATCTGGGCAACTGATCTATTTGGATTTGAGGTGTTCAATAACCTTCAGACTATCAAATGTGGACAACGAAGAGAAAAGAGAGTGAGATTAAGCTGGGTAGAGAAACAGTAGAATGGAACTAATGGGAATAATGCGGTTAGTCTACTGCACGAACAAGCTCTTGCGTGCATAACAGAACAGCTTCAGTGCTGACCACTTATTACGAAAATCTATTTTTCTTAAAATGGTTTCTGTACGCATTTCAACGGGGAGATCTTACTCCTTTTCGGTCGAAAACGATATTTTCACAGCCATATAAGTCTATTTATTTCTGGTCGCATCGAAGCCGTTTCAATGGAGGTGATGAAAATCTGTCAATATACTTGAGTATCAAGTCCAGTCCATACAACAAAGATCAAAGCGAACACTACAGCAGAGACAAAAATGTTCACGGATGGAGGAGAATGCACTTCGAGTTCAAGCTAGCACCCACACACAGCTAACAAACACAAGGGAAGAATTCCAATCAGAACTGAACAACATTCACCGCTATTTATTGACATTCACTGAACACGTATACTAAGTCTGTGGTTCTGTGAATTCGAAAAATGGCATCAGAAAAGTTGAACAAATTTTACTGTTTTCGAATTGATACTTCATTATTTCTTTCCTGGGAAACCATATGAGAAAAATCTCTATACAAATCGACGAAACTTCACTGGTAACTATCAGATGATATGAGATATAACTGTAGCGTTTCTAGTCGTTGTTCAAATGCCTGAATCAAATTTTCATTTGACCTAGATCACATGTGACTATGAGGAGCAACAATTGTGACCACAATGCGTTTGATGATAAATCATAAATGTGGGAATGATGCTTATTGGATGGAGGAGAGTGGTGGTCATCGTGTAGCCGGTATCGTGACGTGATGATCTAGATTTATTTGTTCTCTCTGGTTGTACTGTGCCAACTGGTTAATAAATTGCACGTCTTTAGATTACGTGAATCGTTAGAGAATGAAAGAGTTGATCGTGTGTCATTTTAGCAATGCTTCCTTAATGCATGGTCCGCTTTTTTAAAGCGATGCAAATTCTTTTGCAAATTTTGCCAATTCAATCGCATTTGTCATCGTGATCTTTACTGAAAAAAGTAAAAACAAAACGTAACTGATTTTTGTTGTTGAGTTGATTGAAACGAAAGAGCTGAACAGTGAAGTAGAACAGAAGGAAATGGCCGGTTATGTAAATTTTCTTCTGATTTACGATGATCTTTGCAAAAGTGTTTATGACTTGTATTTTCCCGGTTGACCACTGACAATACGCGGCAGAAAAAATGGGATCGGCAAACCGGAATGTCCCGGGAGAATTCGGGTCGAAACTATTATTCACCGAACCAACCCCGGCAATTGTGGTTAGCATTTGGCTCCAAAGACAACAGCTGTAATCAATGATTGAACCTCTCGGGCATCATGTTGTATCATTTATTAAGGTATACTTGATTTTTGAGATAAAATTTCATTGGAAGTTAGCTTATGTGCACAGATCAAGCTGTAGATGCTAATTTCATACAAGTAATACAACTTCCGCACTGTTATTTCGCCAGGCAGCGTTTGCTTGACCGTTACCGCTTCCGAAAACCAATTATAAAATTTTATACTCAGTTCACTAAAAGAATTCGGATACATTATTGTTGTTGTATATGAAACATTGTAATTATTATTTTATACCTAACTAAAAACAAATAAATCGCCAATACGAAAACATAAACAAAACACGTACGCTGCGCTGTCGATAAACTGATTTGTTTTTGATCTAAGCCAAATCCGCGATGAGCAGTAAGTGAAATTAAAAAAATAAATTCGCTTAAAGGAAAGATACAACAGAGTTGATGTTTCAACGAATGTTTTATTTATATTTGATATAAACTACATTTAAGGTGTAACGCAATCGAGTAATGGAATAAAATTGTACGGAAACCACTAGTCCCATGATGCATTTCCCGCAGAAATATTCTTGATCGTGATGCTGGTCAGCGAGAATTTCGTCGATCCTTTTTCTCTTCAGATCATTTAGATCCTCGCGGAAGATGATCTCGTTGGTACGAAGAAGTCTACTGTGAAGAGTATGTACCGTTTGGAAACCGCGCCAGAAATATTTTGTCGCGTGTTCCTACCACCCCGTGTTTCGTTCGTATCGCCGCCCTATTGTGGTCCCCTGCCATCTTTCGTCGCCCGCAATGCTTCGTAGAGTCTCGAGTTGTGAGAATAAGAGCCGTGGGATATCCTGTTGCGCATCTCTGTTCACTGCAATATACTGCGACAGCCCGGAGTGCGTTCGCATTACAAGTGCACCATAATGACAGGTTCTTGCTTGCAACCTGCAGCTTTCTACACAGATTTCGAAAGTAAATGCAATTTCTCTTTTCATCAACAAATCATGTTCCTATTTTTCCTAACTAAAATGATCTACAATGAACGTTCTCAACAAACTTTTGTACTCTGGNTTTGGTAACTGGTCTCAGTAGTTCAAACGGTGCAATTCTTGCTTCAATGTTTGAATGCCAAATCGGCATTTTTGGCAGTATTATCTGACTTCAAAAGTTCTGCAGATGTGGGGCTTTTTTCCGCCACGATAAATCCGATGAATAAAAGACAACAAGTTTTCCGAGCGTAGTACGCCTGAAGTTCGGAACCGTACCCAGTCGATCTGGATTTCATCAGAAGGTAGCCTGTGGAAGTGAACTGGCGGACTGTTTATCGGTTACTATGGAAACAGAGATTCTAATTAGGCTGCACAAAAAGACAGATTTTACTCAAAACTATTTTTTCAAAGGTCTCCAGGAATAATTCACCAGTAATATATGTTCGGAATCAAACAAATCAATGGCTCATTCCATGTGTTCGGTTTGGACGGAGTTATCAGAACTACGCGACAAGTTTCACATCCGAACATATTTTTTCTAGCTCAATCAACGGCATGTCCTGTTCGCGGTAAAATCTCGTTTCCTTTCCCTATATGCTATTCCGCATTGACGTTAGGATAATGAATAATTTACTTCAAAGATTCTAAAGATTATACCAAACAGACCATTATATAATCAGTGAAAGTCATCCAGTAAGTTGCACTCAATCATTTGCCTCGACTGAAAGGAAGTCCTAAATTGAGGAAAAATGTTTATGGAAACGTCTAACTACTTTTCCGTCCTGTGAAATCCAGGTTTATGTACATTTATTGACACAAAGTCCAGTTAAATTAAAAATAAAAGCACGGAAACCGGAAAATATTGCAGAGAAGATGGGATAACCGGGCAATTAGGTGGCGCTCGAGAAAGATCGAATGAATGCACACTTACCTGTTGTGGAAACGTGGGCTCTTTCCGTAGGCGTCTCAAAATCAAGGTGACCAACACAGCAGCTGGGAGAACGTCAAACTGACGCATTCGTAACAGTTGTTCGGTCACACGAAATCGACCACAGATCAGGGCCAAAAATAACAGAGATTTATACATTGGACGAAGAATTACCACTTTGTTTGTGCTGAGTGTGTTGAAAGTCAACAAACCGGTCATGGCACGTAATACTGTGCGAAAATCATTTGCCTTGAGGATATTTTGATAATTGGTTTGCACATGTGAAAACACCCCAGTGCCATTTTCGTAACAGTCTGAGAATAGTTCGGCCATTTGTTTGGTGCTGAGATTCTGTGCAGTCTCAAAGTCCGTCATCATCGGTGTAAGTCCACGGGGGTAAATGTTTTCACTGATTGCGCTAAAATCCGTATCGGTTGTGGTAGCTGGTTCTTGATGTTGCTGCCGCCAGACCAGTGAATCGCGTAATGTCTCCAACAATTCCACATTATCGTTCAACAGTATTTTACGCCACACACTCATCACATTAGTAGTGTCCGATTTGAGACGTTTAGTCGGCCATTGATTGATCGACTTTCCTGAGTCGGCCATGTTTTCCATATTATCAGCCAAGCGACGAATGAACGAATATCCTTTACGTGAACGATCATTGAATCCCGGCGTAGCTGAGGTTGGACTAGCATCTTTTCGGATTGGTGTGTGAGCTGAAAGTGTCTCGACGTGGACCAGACTTTCCGGAGCCGATCGCACTTTATCTGCTTCCATTTGCATAAAGCGCTTTCTAACATAGACAGGCACAATATCGTCGATTCGCATCAGCAAAGCAATCAGTTGTCTTTTTGGTAGAACGTCAACTAGAACTTGTGAACGCCCTGCTGCGTAGGCCAGGTCCAACGCAGTTTTTCCTTGTGGTGTTGGAAGCATTGGATCTGCTCCGTTGTCGAGCAAGATTTTCAAACAATCTTGATAACAATTTACTGCCTCTTCGCAACTGGCGTGATGTAACGGCGTCCATTGATGTAAGTCAAAATAATTTGCCGCTGCAGTCGTGTGAGCTATGCCCACATTTGCAGTTTCAAGTGAAATCTGACGTTCGTGACCTTTGTCTCCGTTAGAGGTTCGTCTGTGGACCAAAACCGGCGCGGTTGTTGTTATTGGTGCGTCAGTGATGGAGCTCATTATAGTTCCCTTTTCCGATTCTTCTAATGCCGCCTGTTCTGCTTCTTCCAATGCCCGAAGGAACTGAGGTGGCACACTGAGCGCGGATAACCGTGTCGACNNNNCAATGCACTGATCAGATAAGATAAAACTGTCGGTTGACCGGACACAGCAGCCACATGTATTGGTAGCCGTCCAGTTTCATCCGGCTCTTGCAGAGATGCTTGGGCTACCTCGACCATATGTCTATATCACAAAATCAGAAAGAAATTGAAAAAGGCTGCTTAATTAAAATAGAAAAACCCATTGTTATTGAATAAAGAAATAGATAGACAGACTCCACATGCGGTTCGGGATGAAAGAAAAACAAAAATATCTTTAGCTTAGGCTATACGAACATTGGCCGTGGACTGCCAGCTCAAGGGTAAGGCTTTTGGCTTCCAGTTCTAAGGTTCTAAGTTTGAATCCCAACAGATCCCAAAAAAAGAGAGAACGAACGGATGATGGTTTCCAACCCGTACGAAAACGCTGTACAGTGTTCATTGTTGGTCATTCCTCTACAGTACCGAAGAAATGTCAGAAATGTGAGGCCCAAACTGATTGCCGTGGAGTAAGATCCAAACAAAAACGACAGTGCACAAATTTTGGTTCTGAAGATTCGCATGAACAATTAAGAGAAAGTTTTCGAATTTTACTTTTCTAGTTGTTCACATACCTTAGTGAGAAACCTCAGAAAGAGGGCAGCGGCAAACTCGAGGTCTACCAAGTGATTCACAAACAGATGAAGTAAGGCGACGGTGATGGGACCCACCAAAACAGATTCTCCGAGGTAATGGGATATTGACAAACAACACTGCCATAATATTGCATTATTTAATTAAATCGATATGATTAAGTGTTTTAGGCCGCGGGTTCCTTCAGGTGAAATGATAAAGAGCTAGGAGCATTGATAGCTTACACTTTGTCTTATTCAATTTGCTAAGAGTACTTCAAAATTACGGCTATATAAACCTACCTGTCAGTCACATCAAAATCCGCGTTTTGAGTTCAAAATGCAGAAATCATAATGCTCTAGCTTTCAGGAATCTTATCAAAAATAGTCTGACACTCTTAGCTGATCACGGAAACTCGAATCTAGAACAGAATTTCACATTTAATTTCGAGTGAATTCACCAAATCAAATGTTAAACATTTCACATGTTACCGTAAGTGTCCTTTTCAGTTTAGTTCGTTCAACTTCTTTTTGAAAATCAGGCAAAGTGCAGTGATTTCCGTGCATCGTTCAGTCATCCATATGCTTTGGTTTGCTACACTTGGTGCAACGGTGATGTTGTATAAACACTATTCTCACTGTGACCATCTTGATTTGAGGTGAGGATGAACTAATGGTGTATTGCAATTGTTATATTTTTAGGTAATTTCTTTCATGAGGATGGAAATAGCTGGTTGATTTCGTTAGATAGTCTGGTTCTAAAAGAGAATGGCAAAGAGTGCAAAGTGTGTTCCATTTCACCTCAGATAACCATCTATTACCCCGTTATGAGACCCGGTAGACTGATGGATGATCGTTCTGATGCTCGCTAATAGTAAGGCTGTTCCACGGGTAAAACGTTTAGCTTCCCCTATTTCGGTGACCGGCTTGAGACAGCTAATTGCGAATGCGTAGCAGACAAATAATTCATTGGGATTAATTCCCTATCATCCCGGTTTCGCTTCACCTCTCGCGTTTGCAGACCGGATCATTACAACAAGTGCGTGTGCCTTTTATGACTTGTCACACAGTTTGTTTGCTATATATGTTCGGTTGCATGGAAACTTGCTCAAAACATTCTCATCGACCGGTTCACGCTGGCGTTCTATGACAATTATGGGCATCCTCATCAGAGTTTACTATAGAAAACAAAATTGAGTGATTGTAGCTAATCATAAACTAGTATAGTGTGACCTCACCGAATGACAATATATCTATTTATAGACGAGAGAATGAGTGGAACGCTATTTTTGGGAAATGTGCTTTGGTGAAGCGTATAAGACCGCAAGGAGAGCACAAACAGGTTGCACTGCTACAAAAAATAAGAACTTAAATTCAACATTTCACACTTATCTGTTCATCATAGATTAACAACAATTCTGGGTGAAACAACTGGGTTACACTCGGTCGCTGTGGCCTAGTTTTAGAATGAAAACGTCTTCGCAAAGCGATATTTACCGATGTAAATCAGTTTTCCCAAATTCAAGTGAAGAAGTACATTTCTTTTACAAAACTACTAGGATGCCTGACCTCATCAGACGGGGAAGACCGTTGTATACGAACAGAATTATATGGATTATTCTACTAGAAAGATTTTGCTCTTAGTGCAGGTGAAACATGGGAGCGTAATTTTCGAGATGATGAAGAAATAAGGAAGATCTTATGAAATCGATCAATCTGCTCCCGTGATCGATAACTGCGCTGGTATGATATATCTCATCTCGTCCAAAGTTAAATTCATCACACGCATGTCACATTCGCAAATAATGTGCATTTGTAAGGCGGAATCGCATATGAACTAGCTATGAGCTATATCTGCACATGCATGCCGAACGTGGTATTTAAGCAATGAATGAAAAAAGCACACATCCAGGACTCATATATATATATATATTTATTGTAAAATATTCCTATTGATACATAATAACAGAATCAAAACGCGAGGACATTTCTTTTCAACGTCGCTTCAGGCATTTACATATATAGTTCCATTAGTCAATAGATTAATACAACACCTACGCTGATATTGAATGAATGTGCATAAACGTGTTCAGTAAACACCGAGCTATGTGGTCGCAATAAATAGATAGAGAAAAGCAAGGAAAAAAGCACGACAACTATCTCGCTTCTCAGGTTTTCGGACTTCATCGTATGAATTTTGCCATATTGAAAGAAGAGTACTCCGTAAGTGCTCGTGGATTCAAAAATACACAGATTTTCGAAGTTTCGTCCCAATGAGATACAAACGGAATTTAGCGAACTGTCAAGCTTATAGATCGAAGAGGATCTGTAGTCCCGAGATCCTGCATGACGAGATGACAAATAAAAGAGACAATATGCAGAGAAACTGCTACCCAAAGGCGTTCATTCGACGATATCTAGAATCGAAACGGTGTAAAATCACAAATAGCTAAGAAGAAGGAGGTGTTCGCGTATGTTCCTTTTAAGGTAGACAGGACATCATAAATCCTGGAGTATCGGTTATGAAAAGTCATTGCCAACTGTTTTACCGCAAATTATATAGGACCCCCATCGAAGGCTAGACTATCGATTGTTCAACAGCTTAAGGATAAATTACCTCATCGGTCTTAATTCTTTGTTCTAAATCAGTTTACGTGCGTTTGTAGTGCTCGCTATATCGGATACACGAAGAGGTGTTTGTCTCAGAGAATATCTGGGCAGTGTCCGGCCGCTCTTCGAAATGAAACAGTGAAATATTCGAACACCTCAATGGCGCAGTATCTGGTCGACAGCGGACACAGGATTGGCCCAGGAATATCAATTGCAATTTTTTGCACAGCACCTAAGAACCACACCAAGGAATCACGTACGAAGATATTGATAACTGTGGAACCCTTAGCAATTAGGATTTTGAAGTCAGAGGTTGTGCAAGCAAAGTAATCTGGTTCAAACGTTTCTGTCATCATGGCATAGGAATGAGCGCCCTATATTCCTACATGACACATTTTCCATGCTCCCCTCTTCGGAGAGTTTTGCCGAGTCAATTAATGGGCATTTTTATTAGTGTATGTTATTATCAAAAGCACAAACTCATAAAGTAGCATTTCACACGTGACTTTAGAAGTAAGTTCACTAAAGCGCGACAAGACAGCTCTAATCCGTCTGTTTGACGGTTATTTGTACGGTGTTGAAAATGGTTATACTGGTTTTCTTTTGTGGGCCTCGTTTCAATGACATAACTGGCAAGACCGGTATATTTAGGTGAAAATGTAACATATCTACCATAATTTGAAAGTAGTTTATCATACAATGTCACCGGACGACTACAAGGCCCCGGAGATGCTGTGAAGATTTTTTACCATGTTTTGAATCGATGGGAGTGCATATTCCACAAAGTTGTTGTGGAGTTTCGATTGCCACACGTTACCATCCACTCTAAGCTGGTTGCTTTTCGTGCATATTTTTATGTCTACTTTATACATATTCGCCTTTGACAGTCAGAAGAAGCAAATAATTGACGCAAGATTTCCTCAAAGTAACGAAGTATGACCATGTAGACTATCTTGGACTACCGTATGATGAACAGTGAAAGATTTACTGATGATCAATATAGCTTTGACATAAGATCAAGCGCCAGAGATAACCCACTTATCAGTGCATTACCGTTTAGGATTTTAATCCCTGCATCTTTCGATGTACACCTTTCACGCTTCTTAGATTTTTAGTTCATGCTTCATTTGCTACATACACGACGAATTAACCTTTGAAACCTAAACTATATTTACTCAAATATTTATACGGATCTAATCCCGAACGGAGCCCAAACTAACTTGTGCTTTCCGTCAAGATTACAACGCAATTGTAGCTTTAGTATCTTTTTGAGCAACGCTAGGGCCAGAAACAATTACAAAGCAAATGGATTAACGATAGAAAATCCAATGCGTTGACAATGTTAGTCATCTGGAGCTTCTTGTAAACGAGGATCCCATTGGAGAGCCTAAAATCCGATAATAATTTTGTGAATTTTACATGGTAAATTCTGTGTTCCTTTAGGGCTGAGATGAACAGTGCAAAACAAACGATACAATGCAAGTGACATGACGGTGATAAAAAAATTTATTTTTCATTTCATTTATTTTCGAGGTGCCATTGATCAACAAAAGGATTCTGTTAGTTATTTCAGTCATGCAGCGAGTTAATTGCTAATAAAACCATGGAAATATCATCCGTTTCTGTATTTCAGTGCTATTAAGTAAAAATGTCAGTTGAATCTTTCCGAACTTGATTCGTTCTTAAGCACGTTTCATCATGGTCTTCAGAACGAGTGCATATCTCATCTTAGAATTCGAAGCCATAGCAAATCACATTATAAGCTCTGAGTTAGGTTAAAACGAAAACTTGGGTGTAACATGTTCTTGATCGCAGTCTACACACAGATCCCGTCGACCTCATTTCAGGCAATCGTTGTTTTGCAATTTACGCTTTTTCACCTGTCTGCCTCCTCTCTGAGAAACAGTTTTTATTATCCCT